TGGGAGTCTGTGGTAAATTGGGGCAGGGGGCTGCCGCGAAGTCTTGGGGCAGGGGGCTGCCGCGAAGTCTTGGGGCAGGGGGCTGCCACCCCGCGTCCGGAACTGGCTTGGGAGCAGGACAGGCTTCTAAAAGTAGGGCGATACGAGTAATGGAAGTTTCCTCCGCTGACTAGTCTTTTCATAGAGTAGCAGGGCTCCTTCAGGGGCGGGGGAGTCCCAGGGTAGCACGTTCAGCCTGAGGTAAACTTAGGACCTGGGACGCCCGCAAAGTCCTCGAGCTGAGGCAGAAACGTGGCTGGGCCGCGGCGGGCGCCCCTTCGATCAATGCCCCGCTGGCCTTTGAGAAGGCCCTGAAGACGCGGCTTTGCCGTCAGGCCTTCGAATCCCGTGGAGGTGTGGAGCCCGCAAAAGGTTTGCATGGTTTGTAAGATACTGATCGTGCTCCCACGTGGCTTCGATTTGGGTTTTCTGTTGCAATGGTTTTGCTCCGTGTTTTCTGTTATTTTTAACGGGGCGAGTCGCTCAGAGTCACGGGTGTGAGATGGGTGGCTATATAAATTGAACAAACAAATAAATAAATACTGTGGTAGTTGAACTCTGCTTTAAAGCTCTGAGCTGGAGTGTTCTTGCTGCTCCTTCTGCCGGGGTGGCCGCTAACAGTGGTGGTGACGGTGCAACTCCTCACCTTTTTCCTACCAGTTGTTCTTCAGACTGAGAAAGAGCATTTGGAAATCTTTCTGAAAAGAGGAGAAATGTAAGGGAAACGAAAAATTCTCATGAACAGAGTGGGGTCTTCTTGTCCTGGCTCGAGTGGCAAAGTGGGCAACGATGTTGTGTGCACGAATGCCTTGCTCACTCGGTCTGCAGCCTCCCATTCAGTTTCAGGAGAAGACCTCAGAAGTAGTTCCTTCTTGGCCATTGGGGGTAATTTTTGGGAAGCTACAGCTTCTGCTGGAGAACTTCCGTCTGCTTGGTGGAGAAAGGCCCTTTGTGCTCAGCTTTCCTCATAAGGGTCACCTAGGAAAGGCGCGAGATGGTCAAAATCCCAACCTTTTTGCTTTGCTTCTAGGAATCATTGAGGTACTCCCTCCTCCTAGATGACAGCTCCTTCCTGGCTGAGTCGCTGGGGTTGGACAAGGACTTGCGAGAGCCATTTTTTGCAGACCCAACTGCTTCAGACTCCTTGCTGCGTGACGATGAGGATGATGAGGACTGGAGCAGCACATATCAGCCCTTGGCCGTCGAAGAAGCCCACTTGGCCAGGGCCCCCAGCGCCTCGCTCAGCAACAGCACTTTAGACTCTTTCTACTGCAATCTCTCAGACCTCCAGACCTTCTCCCCAGAGCAGCTGGGAAAAAGTGACCACGTCTCGCGTGACACTCTTGGGAAAGGGGACCAAAGCTCACCGGGTGATCCAGTGTCCCCAGAAGATGGCTTCTGCCAACTGTTGCAGCTGCGTTACGAAGAAGTGAGTTTTGAAGTCTCTCTTGGGAATCTGTTCTCTTTCCTGACTTCTCCAGAACAGCAAGGCTAAACTCCTAGCAAATGCATTTTTGCTACTTGTATATCCCACCTTTCATCTCCCAAGGTAGCATGTATAGTATTTTCTCCTTCAGTTTTATCTCCACAGCAACAACCTTGTGAAGGAGGTTGAGCTGACAGCACACAATTAGTCTAAAGATACTGTCAGCCCTATAGGGTAGACCAGACTAGGTCTAAAACTACTTCTATTAGAATGGCTATAGTAACAGAGTCTTACAGGTCTGAATGTGTCGTCCGTCCCCCCCCCGCCCCCCCCACTTCATGTGTACTAGGGAGGGACTCATCTGAGGCATTTTCTCAGTTCTGCCCCGGACTTAGGTTTCTTTTATCTGACTGTTGGCTTGGTAGTGGCTCTTCCCCGCTGTCCTTCAAGGCCATCCTTTATGTCCTCTACAGATACCCAGTAAGTTAAAAGGTGAATTTGAACCTCAGACTGCCCAGTCCAGCATTTTAACCATAACACAACTATGAATAGTAGTTGCTGTCTTCTCACTGATTTCTAGGCTCGCTGGACAGGGCTGTCTGAATAAGAGTATTCATTTATATTTTATAAATATTATAAAAGTTTATATTTTCCTGCCATCATATTAAGTCTGAGATCCTTGGGTTCCCTGACTCACCACTACCAATTTTCTGGACCATGGGCCCATAAGTTGTTCTGGAAAAGAGTAAAAACAGGTCGCTGCACACCAATATTTTGTTGAAAGCTATGTTGCAAAAATGGCCGTCCTGTGAGGGTGCCCACAATTTGTTTCCCAACTTCCAAATACTCACTGGTCCAAAATGAGTCCCAAAGAGTTCTCTCATCCTGTGGTGTCCTATTTCACATCAAGTTTCCCTTTTGATCATTAGGGGGCATTAGAAATCTTCTAAAATTCCCCTCCCCACCAGGAAGCTTGTATTCTATATAAAGCTTCATTGTAATTTCTTTTGTGTGGCTGAACGTGCAGATTGGTGATCTGGTGTGCTGTTCATAGTCTGGGAATTTTAGTTTCCTTTCTGATTGTAGTGTGAAATACAGAAAGGCAGCATCACACAGATTTTGAAACGTCACAAGGTTTGCTACACACTTTGTGAGAAACACCAACTTTGGTGGCTGTTCTGCAAGCAGAGAACTCCCCTTGTGGATCGTAGCCAGAGACAGAGTCCTGTGGTCAAGATATTTTTCTCTTTAGCTGCTTGTCATTTCCTTGTGACTTCAGACTGATTTTCTATCTTGTTGCCCATCCACCCAGTGCCACTTTCGAATGGTTACTTCCAAGAATTCCAAAATCCTTCAGCATCTGAATCTTTTCTTTTTGTAGCTGAAAGAAGAAAATTCCAAGTTAAGAAGTAAAATAAGCCAAATTCAGGCTGTTTCTGAATCTCAAGCAGAAAGGTGTGTATACAATTAACTAAGATTAGTAGAATAATAATAATATCTTTAATTGATTAGTTCACTGATTTGAACCCATTTAAACAAGAGGGAAGGTCCCCAGCTTCCTTGAGAAGAAAAAAAAAAACAGCACAGGGACCCATATCACTCTTTAAATATCTGAAGGGATGTCACACAGAAGGTGGCCAGGTCATTACAGAATGCAGATTATAGAATAATGGTCTGAAGTTACAAGAAGACAGATTCAGCTGAACATTAAGAAAAAGGCTTCTTAATGGCTGAACCATTTCTGCAGTGCAACCACTGACTCGGGGAGGTGTTGGGCTTCCTTCGTTGGATGTCCTGCTGCAGAGGTGAGCAATAATGTCAAATCAAGTCAAATCTTTATTACGGCTGTAAGACCAGCAGTCAAGCACTGTGATTATGGATGCCTTCTTTGGATTCCTTGCTGAGCAGGGGGTAGGATCGAATGGCCCCTTCCAGTTCTGTAATACTAAAAATGCTTATTTATGGAATTTATCCTCACCTCATTCTGGGGAAATAACGTCCCAAGTTATAACAAGGTGGTAAATATTTACTTAATGTTTAGGGTTGGCAAGCTTTGTGTTAAGAGGCATTCTCGCTCATCTTGTGCTCACTGGAGATTATGGAGGGCAATACTCATAAGACAACTAAACAGTAGTTGAAGGGTAGAAATCAAGGTGAAATCATTCTCTCAACTAGAATAAGGCATCTGGAAAGGACATTAGAGAAGAACAAA